TATATAATTTTTTTTTTTTACACCTCATTTATTTACCCAAACCTTGGCCATGTCTGTGGTCCATCCTTCATTTCTGAACTTCCAGGTTTCCTTAGGAAACATTTTGTTTTGAACTAAAGAACTTCCTCTAGAGTTTCTTTCAGAGCAGGACTACTGAGGACAGATTCTCTTCACTTTATCTGAGAAAGTCTTCAGTTCATCTTCATTCCTGGCAGGTATATTTGCTGGAGTTCTGGGAGGACACATTTTTCCTCCAGCCTTTGAGATGTGGTTCCACTCCTTCCTCTGCTGCATGGTTCCAAGGAGAAATCTGCAGTCAGAGGCGTTGTTCTCCCTCTGTGTGGATTGTGGCATTCTGCTCTGACTGCTTGCAACATTTTAAACAAATTTTTGTTTTCAGCTGTTTGATTAAGATTTTTCTGGGGGCTGGGAATTTAGTTCAGCAGCACAGCATCTGCCTGGCAGGCGCAAGATTGTGAGTTTGATTCCTGATACCGGAAGAAAAAAACTAAAGCAACAACAACAAAAAAGATTTTTCTGGTTTTCTTTTAACCTACTGTATTTAGGGCTGCTCATCTTCTTTTTGTTTTTTTTGTTTTGTTTTGTTTTGTTTTTTTCTGGTACCAGGAATCAAACTCACGACCTTGCGCTTGCCAGGCAGGCACTGTGCTGCTGAGCTAAATCCCCAGCCCTCATCTTCTTGAACTAAAAAAATTGTCTTTCACTAAATTTGAGGAAATTCTAGTCATTATGTCTTTAAAGTTTTTTTCCTTCAGGGGATAAAATAACATAAATTGATATTGTACTTTCGATATTATCCCCCAGGTCCCTGAAGCTCTGTTGATTTTTTTCAATATTTCCCCTTCCTTTACATTGGGTAGTTTCTCTTGACCTACCCTCAAGTACACTGGCTCTATTTTCTGTCATCTCTGTTATCAAGCTTATCCTGTGGCTATTTTGGTATTTTTTAAAGTATCATGTGATTCTAAGGTACAGAGCACTTGAGAGCTGCTGACTTAACACCTCCAGCCTTCAGTGTCCTCACCTTAAAAAAGGAGAAAGTGCCAATTTTGCCACCTCCCAGGCCTGCTGGGGACCTAAGGAAAGTCATCACTAAACAGCACTACAGCAGAATTCACCAGATCTGGTCAAAATGGGCTAGCGCCCGAGGAGTTCCATTACCAGACAGGTGGGGTATCATGTTCACCACCAACAGCCAGGGGATCTGATAGCAGAAATTCTCAGCGTGTGAGCAGTAGAACAGGCCAGAGCACAGCTGTGATCTTGCTCATTACCTGAGGTTGTAAAGATGTGGAGCCATGGGGCTTTACAGACAGCCCTACAGGGTTTGCAGGGGATGCAGCCACACCCTCCACCCACCATAGGCAGCCGCCAGCACCAGGAGGGTGGGGAGGGGACTCTAGGGGCAGAGGCCAAAACTCCCCACGTAAAACACATCCTTACACTAAAGACTGCACACACGCCTCATACAAGTCCGCCTTTGTCATCTTACATAGGACATTTTAAGTTAACAAGTTCATGATGTGGGCTGCCTTCACAGAGTTACTGCATGTAACTACAGTGAGGATCGCGTGGCTAGAGTTGGAACTGCTCTTGCATTTGCTGATTGTACTTAGTGGCATCCCTAGCAAAACCATGTCTCCATATTAGATCACTGCATTAAATGTTAATATGCATATGCTGATTCATTGGCATTACTTATTTTGTTCATGTTTAATACAGTATTATGCATTTTAATACCTCTGTGGTACAGGTTAGTTTAAGAGTAGATATTTCAACTAAAGGTAGTCTTTTCCTATTATTAACAGAATATCCAAGGTATCTCCAAGCAACCAATTCAAATTACTACACCTCGAAACTTTAAAGGTAACACTTTTCTTTCTACTCGGCTAAAATCTCAGGTAACATCTTTTTAAAACCTGGAAGTGTTTGTAACTGCTTTTCTAGGCAACTGCTTCCCTTTTCTGAAGTTATTCTCTTTATTTGCATGACTAGGATTTAAATATACACTGAAAAAATAAAAACAGCTGAAGTGATATGGTACGTCCCTTTCAGCAGTTTACAAGTTAAAATAGACAATAATTATACCAGGGAAGTAGGTCCCCTCCTACCTTCTCTCCCCCACCAACTTCCCAATAAAGAAAACACAGCTATACAATAGCATTGGCTTTTATTAAAGTCTGAAAATTGCCGGAAGTATTTAGAAACACACCAACATTCTTCTTCCTTTTGAGCTATCCCACTGTAATCCTGACAGTCACATTTCTAAAAGAGGAAAGTTCAAATCTTACAAAGCAGTGCCATATCAACTACTCCTTGTAATTGTCTGCGCCCGGGCAGTGCTGCCCCTGCCCTAAGGGGCTGGGCAGGAGGGCATAGCAGCACCCTAAGGCACCATGAGGGCCTTTTGTAAACACACATGGCCACCCTCGAACAGCCCAGAAAGGCAGCCCCGAGCCACTCTGTCCCATCTGCCCCTTCACGATGTTGCCGTGGGAAGATCTTGGCCACATACCCCTGCATCGAGCTAGTCAGCAAGGCGTTCACTGGAGGATTCGGGTGTTAATATTTGCCTTTTTCCTTTCTTCGTCAAGAATTGTAGATAGAACTGAAAGTTGTAAGAGCACAAAAGTTTCATTAATTTTAATGATGGTATTTTAAAGTTACATTAATAGAAATCATTAAAAAAAAAAGTCTAGACTCTTGCTTTTGGATGACATGAAAATAGCTCTGTATTGAGGAACAGCTATGAACCAGCTCCTGACCACACTCAGCATGTGCTCTTGAAATGACCTCCAGGTAAAGAAGATAAGACTCTCACAGTCTCCCCGAGAGCTCTGTTGGTCTCTTCCAAAGGCCACACCTTCCTAGCAGCAGGTATGTGCAAGCTGTAGGGAGCGGTGCCTCCGGTCCCTGTGGCCCACTTTTACGCATTTCCATACAACTGAAATACTTACAACTAGAATAACTCAAAGGTACTTATAGAACTCATTCTTCCAAATAAATCCTAAGGCAAGTGTTTATGTGCAGCAAAGTTTTCTTATGCACAACACATAATAATAGGTCTTTGGCTCCAGGGTCCCCTTGCTTTGCCATGTTTAGATCCCACACACCCCTGCCTGGCCCATTTGTCTTGCCCTGTCCTCCTTAGCCCTCTTCACTGTTCCCTCCCCTTGCTCACTCACTGGCCTTACCAAAGAATTTATTCCAATTCTCTGTCTTCCTCTTCTAGAATTTAAGTTCCACGGGGAAAGGGAATTGTGTCTTTTGTTCCGTACACATTCCATGCACAGAGCCGGGCACCTCAGATTCCTAAAGTTGTGATGTGTAGAATGAATGAACGCACAAATCAGTGCATACCACCCACCCTGGAGGTGTTGTTGGTCTCGAAGGAGGCAAAGGAGAGCTTTGGAACTGTGCAGTGACCGTGCCCTGAGGCTGGAGGAGCCCGGCACAAGGGAGGGGAGGGCTCCTGAGGGTGGGCTGGGGCAGAGCAACAGTGGGGCACTGGTGAGTTTGGCATTAACACAGAGCCATCTGACAGACTTTTCACAGATTGAATTGCGCATTCTTGCACATTTATCTGGGGATCCAGAACTTCTGAAGTTATTCCAGGAATCTGAAAGAGATGATGTATTTTCTACCTTGACTTCACAGTGGTAAGATAATAAGCCACAATATTGTCAGATCTGTGGGAATGCTAACAGGATGTTACAAGTCTGAAGTTATTCCAAGGCTATTTTCATGAGAAAGAATTTAAATTTTTCTCTAGTAGTTAATTATTTTGAAAAGAAGGGCAGAGAGCTGGGTTCCAGGAGTTCCCTAATTTCAGGAGGACTGATGGCACTTTACTACTGACAAGGGGCAGGGTGGGAATGCTGGAAAAATAAGTGCAAGTCACACAGAAAGAGGAGCCCAGGTGCTGGTCTTATGAGCCATGGCCCCATGAGGGAGGGTGAACGCCCCAGCCACGCCCCCAGCCGGTCAGTGCTGGGCTGGGGTGGCAGCCCTGTCTAGGCCGCACTCTGCAAAGGCAGGCGGCCTGGAACACGGCTCTGCCACAGGAGGTGTGACATTCTTTTCACATCATTGTGGCTCCCCTTGTCCTGGTGGAGGGCCTTCAGCAGCTTCAGGCATGTGGAGGGCACGGGTACAGGGCTCTGCTCCCCAGAGCCCTCCGTGGCATCTTTTGCACCCACTTTCCAGAGCAGTTGTGCCACTCTACTTCAGGAAGCTGACACAGCTACGCTCTGAAAAGGAGAACCTGGTGACCCTGGCTTCCTTGGGCCATCAGGTACTCACCCAGGCCAGGTAGCCACTGCCCACACAAAGTCAGGATTTGCTGTGAGGAAGAGGAGGGCAGGGGATCAGTTGCTGGAAGGTCACTAGCCTCCCCAGACAGCACAGTGCCACCCCACCCCACTGGGCCTCGCCCTTAGCTGTTCCCTGTGGCCCCTCTCCTTCCCACCTCCTCTCTGTTCACCTGCTCACCCTGGGGAACCCCTGGAGGCTGCACTTCGAGGAAGACTGTCTCTCACCCTATGCAGGGCCCCAGGCTTTCTTTTCACACACGCGGGTCTGTCGCTGTCACTGCCTTTCTGCAGGCGCATGTGCTCCAGGAGAGCCAGGCTGCAGCCCCATGCCAGGGCAGGTGCTGGCTGCCTCTGGCCTTGTTGCCACCCACTCCCCGGCCCTCGGGGCTGGTTCCCTGCGCCCCAGCTGTCCCTCGCTCAGCTTTCTCCTGCCCTTGGGCTCAGGAAGCTCTTTCCCTGACCGCATCCAAGCCCACCTGTGGACATGTCCTCCGGGGCCCTCCTGGACCCAGCCCTGACTTCCCCGGTGCTGCTGCCACTGTCTGGTCCCACCACCCACCGCAGCACTACTCTGGGCCCTGCTGTGCCCACCAAGCTTGGGGCTCACAGAGGATTCGTCAGTGGATACGGCAGAGGTCAGACTTCTTGTGCTCACCAAAGAGCCACCACCACAAGACCCATTTGAATGATAAAATTCAGGAAATATTTTGTGTAAACAAACAGGGAGAGAAAACTTTATTACACTCCAAGCTGGACTGAAGAGTGGATAGTTGTGGAAATTATGTTTGATGGTGACAGCAGGGAAGTGGCAGAGACAGAACGATGGGTGTTCACCCATTGGAAGACGGCGAGGTGGTGCTATGCAACACGGTGCTGTGAGGAGCCGTCCAACTCCCAAGCACCAACCCAGAGTGCTGCCACCTGCCGTCTCCAGGGACTGCCTCTCCCCTGTCCCCATCCTCCACTCTTCTCTTCAGCCCTGCCCCAACCCTCTGCAATGCTGTCCTTTAACACCAGTGGCCTCCGCCATGGCCAGAGTCCCCTGTCAGACTCCGGCTTCCACCCGCAGGGGCACACGTGGTCCTCACGGGCTTCACGCACGTGCTCAGCCACCAGCCCTCCCTCAGCCACTCCGTCTGGGTCTGAGGGATGGAGCAGTGGGTAGTGAAGACACTTATGGGCTCTCTGTGCCTCTGCTCAGCCCCCAGAGCCCCCCAGTGCCCCTTGGCCTTCTCTCTGCTTGCTGGTCTCTACTTTTGCATGTTCCCCACTACCACCTGCTCATCTCATGGTCCGGATGCTGGAGGAAGTCATGAAGTGGGGCGGTTGAGTCCCGAGAAACAAGTCATCCAACTCAAGAGGGGTCCAGGTGTCCTCAATACTTAGTCTCATCAGCTACTCCAGCGCTGCTGATTGTTCCACAATTGTCCACCTTCTCTCGGTCTTGAAAGAAGACTTCCTCTAAGTAAGGCTCCCAAACACCCCCTCCACTCTGCCTCTCCTCCATATCCTCCTCCCACCATCCCACAGTTCCTGTTTCAAAGACAATAAGAGAACACGAGGAGCAAGCAATTTCTTGACAACCGCAAGCTACCAAAACCTAGCTAACACGAGTTCATCTGAATATTCCTGTAACTACTAAAGAAATTTAATTAGCAACTTGAAAGCTCCTGAAAAAGAAATCCCCAGGCCCAGATGGTGTCACTGGAGAATTTTACTAAACATCTAAACAAAAATTGACATCACTTTTATACAACTTCTTCCAAAAACTAGGAAAGGGTCACTTATCAGTTTATTCTATGAATTTATTCAGCATGAACCCTAATGCTAAAGCCAGATAGAGTCAAAAAGTAAAACAAACTGCAGACCAATGTCACTCATAAATTTAAGTGCAAAATCTTCCACAGAGTATTAGTAAACCAAATCCAACACTATATAAAAAAAAATACACCACATGTAAGCAAATCGATCAGTGTACTCCATTATATTAAGCTGAAGAACAAAAATAGCATATATTAATTGATGCAGACAAAACATTTGACAAATTTAACACCAATTCATGATAAAAATAATTCTCACCAAGTAAGAAATAGTTGGGAAAAACCTCAATTTGATGAAGAACATATGTGTTAAAAAAAAAAAAAAGCAGCCAACTGCATAATCAGTGGTGAAGAGCAGAATGCTTTTCTCCTGGGACCACTCCAAGTTGGAGCCACTCCAAAAGATAAGGAAAATAAATAAATTGCATATAAATTGAGAAGGAAGAAATAAAACTGTATTTACAGATAAGACAGTTGTCTATGTAGAAAATCCCAAAGAATCGTACAAGGAATATATGGAATTTTTAAAATTCTAAAACTAATAAATGAGTCCATCAAGACCCAAGATCAAGACACAAAAAAATGTCCCCATCTCTATACACTGACAATGAATATGCAGAAAGTCAGATTTAATCCCACCAAGGAGGATGAAATATGATGGTCCCTGGTTTGCAAAGGTTCAATTTAATTTTTCTTTTTTACTTCGCCATGGTGTAAAAACCATGTGCTTACTTACAGTAGAAGCTGCACTTCAAATTTTGAGTTTTAAACTCTTCCCAGGCTACTCGTATGTGGTACAGTTCTCTCCATGTGGTCAGCAGCAGGGAGCCACAGCTCCTGGTCAGCCCTGTGGTCACCGGGGGAAGAACCGACCTTCACAGTGTACTGTGTTGCTAAGCAAGGGTGTTCAGCAGATTAGCTGTGTAAGTGCCTAGCCGCTCGTTAGGTCAGGCATTGTGCCCTTCACACATCCAACCTGCTGTCCTTAGCACGTGCTAGCTACACCCATCTCTGCAACATAGCACACTGTAGACTGTAGGAAGGTTCTTCCTCTCCAATCCACATGCCATTTATTTCTTTTGTATATGTATAATATTTTCCATTTACAGTGGGTTCACCAGAATATAATGCAGTTGTGAGCTGAGTTATGTGTACTTAAATGTCCAGCTAACAAAATGTGCAGGATTTTATGCTTAAAATTACAAAATGCTGATGAAAGGAATCAGACCTCTAATAAATCAAAAGATGTACTATATTCATGTATGGAAGACTCAATATACAAACATGTAAGTTTCCCCTAACTTGATTCAAAGGTTCATAATGCTATCCATATTAAATCTGAGACATGGGTGTTTATATAACAGAGAACCTTATTCTAAAATGTGGATGAAGGCATAGACTCTAGAAGAGCTAAAACAATCTTGATGAATAATAAACTGGTAGGATTCACTGCCTTATACTAAGATTTAATATACAGCAATCAAAAGACTGTGATGTTGGCAGAAGGACAGACACATGGATCACTGGAACAGAAAAAGAGAAACAGAAATAGATCCACACCAATGTGCTCAGCTGATTTTTTTTAACAAAGGTTTAATGTATGAGAGAGAAAATAATTCCCTTCAGATTCATGTCAAGCTGGGCACGCGTAAAAGCTGATATGAAAGCTTCATGTCTACACTGATTTATTGTATAATGTCTTTTGTACATTTTATTAGGTTGTATTAATTTTTGGAAAAACTTCAAAAGAAGCTTTGCTTCTAATTCCCTACCAGCAATAGTAATCCAACATTTGTGACTTATACTATAATTAGTTGCTGTGGAAATGATTTTTATGTTCCAAACAGAGAACTAGAATAGCACATGATAAAAAAGCAGAAGATCAAATACGCTTCAAAATGTTTGTTCCCTGTAAATGCCTTATTGTTTGAAACCGAAAAAGCAGAAAGGCAAATATTCTGAAGTGGTTAGTAACATTTTCAAAGGGTAACAATTCCCTTAAAAACCCCATCGGTATGCAGAAAGAGGAGGTGTGGAAGAAACGGTGGAAATGATACGTGAAGCTGCGCCTGAGCCGGGGGGCTGGAGAGCTGGGCCCGGCAGCCCGCAGTCCCACAGCCTGGCCCCTGCCTGGCCGCCGAGGCGCTGGGAAGGTGCAGCACTCTGCACTGCAGTCCACTGTGGCCCCGACCCCGCCTTGTTCTTCACAGTCACCTTCATATCTTTGCCTCCGTTTCATGAGGGGGTTCCTAAAAGTTTTACAAAATGCAGAATAAAAGCATTCCTTATTGGCTATGCATTCAACTCACCATTTTCCAACTGAATTTAAAGGAAGAGTTCATTGCTACAGAATACATTTGTTTTTCTTCTGCCTAAAGCTTTGAGTGCTTCTCTGAGATAGTCTCTGGTAAAAATAAATAAATCAGTTTCTGTTTCCAGATGATGTGATTGTCCACGCAGAAAATCACAAGGAATACTGTGTACCAGAACACATAGGAAAGTTTGAAAGGCAGTGCTGCAGGCCTA